GCCGTCTGCAAAAGAACACTTCCCTTGACAGTTCGTGTGACAGCTGTCGTCGTTGGAGAGGTTATACCTTCTGATATTTATTATTTTTTGCCACTACAAATGCTCCACCTGTCGATGGCTTATTGGGCTTATCTTTGTTCTTGGTTTTTTCAATCGAACGCGACGACTCGTTCATTTTACATGCCTCAACGTCAAACTTTATGGTTTTAAGCAACTCATCACTTTGCCAAACATCACTAGTAGCTTTTCGTGCTACCTGCAGTCTTATTTCATTCGATAGTTTGGACATAATAGTTGGTATTAGCAGACTGCCGTACTGGCTTGCAGATACCCAAAGCGAATCAAGTCCTCGCCCTTGAACACTTATTTGATGGAAAACATACATCAATTGCCCTGTCCGATTTTCTGAACATGCAGATATTTGTAGGATTTGATCCATATGTGCAGCAATGACCTGTTGGATTCGACCAAATCTATCATGCAGAATCGCAATTGCTGCGTGATAATTTGCGGATATTGAGGTAAGTCCCTTTATCGAAAGTGCTGCACTACCCTGAAGTAATGAGAATAGGTAATTGAATTTGTTTACCTTAGACATACTCTCGTTGCTGTGAATCGTAGCATTGTATAAGTCCCAAAAGGCGTTCCATTCTGTGATCTTTCCACTGAATTTTGGTAATTGAAGTTTGGGATACTTTGGCATCATTATCGCTGGTGTTATTCTTATTGTGGCATTGTCGTAGAATTTGTATTAATCACTTCATTCGTAATCGTATCAATAGCATTCGCGTTCGTACAGACCGCATTCGTGTTCATATTAACCGCATTCGTGTTCGTATTAATTGCATTCGTGTTCGTATCAACCACATTCGTGTTCGGGTTATTCTCATGGTTCCTTATTGTTGTGTTACTCGTGCTTGCTGTTTCTACCACTAATTGAATCTGTTTGACTTGTGGTGTAGGACTCTGCATTCTTCTTATAGTTTCTTGACAAATTTCCGGTTTTCTTGCTGCTTCGATTTTACGTCGAGTGCTTAGAATTCTAGATCATAGACTGCGGCTACTTCTTCAATTTCGTGTTCAATATCCGTTACATCGGATATCTCAATGATTTTGTCGTTTATTTCGTCTAAGATCTTCATCTTACTCTCGAGTTGTTCAGCGATGACAATACATAGTAACATGTCTACTTCAGTGGAATCCAGAAGCTCGAGTGCTTCTTTTACAAGCCTTGTATACACGCCACGATAACCGCCTCGTTTGGTGCGAAGTCGTTCAATAGTATCCTTCGACATTTCTTTGGTTTCTGAATGAAGCTGTTCTAGAAAACCGTCGTATACTTACTTACCGGCCGCACGTTGGACGCCATTTTATGATCGTTCAAAACGTCGATTTCCTCACAAATCTTTGTACGGAATAAACAAGATATATTGGCTTTCTATATGTATATTTCACTAACGTATGATTCTCAGGACTATACCAACTTGGACGATCTACATTAACAGACATGTTTGATTGTCATGTTGTTCTTTCTTCTCTCGCATTTATAATTACTGGTCTGATCTCTTCATGCACTGAACTAATCACTTTTATCAATATTTCTTACAGAAACGATCTCTGACTCTTTTAGCTTCAGACGCGACTTTAACAGTCCTCGACTGATTTCCAGGTTCACACACAAAAATAAATCCAATAACATCGTAAAACGATAAATAATTCGACAATATTTGAAATACTCGTGCAGGAGCGGATCTAAGATTTTTCAAACATCGACCGCACCTGGGGGGGTCCGAGGCATTCTCCCTTGAGAAATTTTGAATTTCAGAGCCTTGGAAATGCCATTTTCAGCGTTTTAGAGCAATACAAAATGTATTTTGTGGGCATCGTTTTTGCGAAAAAAAAACACATTTTGCTTACGTTTATTAAAAAAAAATGAAGTGAACAATACTTGAATGTTTTGCCAAATATTTAGGCTCATTATCATGCCAAACATATGGCTCATTAGCATGTCTAGGAACATAAAATTTATTCTACAATAATGCTATTCCAAAAAAGATATTGTATTTAAAAATTTCTACCAAGTTGTCAGGCATAGACCCCCATAGAGACCCCCATTCAAACCTCTATGTAATGAGTTAAGTTAGAAATTTGGTACTACAAGGGACGGTTCATAGATGTAGAAAAGCTCAGACTTCATGTATGTGAAATACTCAGGTTTAATACCATTCCAGTCAAATTGTCAAAATAAAAAGCTTCATGGATAAGAAGACTCAAAATCACAGGTTATAGTAAACAGCTTCTCATGTAATCAATGTTAGTTTTCTCAAATCTTAAACAATATGTAGTATAACTGTCCAATGATTGAATGATCAAAGATCATAAACTGAAAAGCCCTAAACATTTGTTTATGATAAAGTAAATAATAGTATGGCGCCTTAAGGCTACAGATTTTTTGTCCATTGAAATATATTTGCAGGAATGTAGGATTTCGCTGCCATATAACGGCCACGATTCCCCAAGCACTAAAGAAATCATAGCTAAAAGTCCTTCGGCAACAACAATTTTAGAAGCATCAATCTGCTTACCATAGTGACATAAATTGCATGAAATACTCGCATAAATTGACTTTGATATTTTACATTCATGCATACACTTCAGTTGTCCTTTACTTACGATTTTGGATGTAAATTTCTGTTGATAAAACTTAAAACAATGTTAGCTTGCTTTTGAACGTCATGGACTGAAATGTCGCTCGCGAGATCATCTTTGCCAAGCATTTACAATTTATCCATAAATTTTTCACCCTCTTGAAAAAATTCACAGTTTGGACAGCAGCATTCATGTCAATATATGAATTTGTAAAAGATTTCTATAAATTCCATCTGATTGTAGTTTAGTTTCTATCATGCTTTAAAAATTACTATGAAACTATCAAACATTCAATTTAGACAGTGAGCTTGACTATGTTAGTTCAGCTGGCTATCAGTCGAAATCGGTCAAACCAATAACAATAAGACAATAGCTATTGGACTACATTATCGGTCCGGCCACCCGCTTATCGGTCGAGATCATTCCAGATCGTCCACTGATCTGGTTATGGACCAATGCAATGGCTTAATTAAATAAGCATTCTTGAACTCCGTTATCGGTCGAACCAGTCGAGCTACCCCGCTTATCAGTCAGCCAGTTCATATAAATCTAGATATGTTTTTATTTACTGATCTGTTTACAAAGGTGGTATTTATATAAGTTTTCATACATAAAACAGAATTTTGACTACTGACTACTGAACGAAAATTTTATGATCAAAAAAATTGTAATCATTAAACTTGATAAATAGTTTTTGAACTATAAAAATATGTCGCATGACTGATTTGACATACCCTAGATCTGACCCTGTACTCGTGCGAATAAAGTTGGGTACAAACAAAAGAAAATATTCGGCGATTGTGTATGCGTACGACGCAATGCAGCCTTAAATATTATTAGTAATTTATGTTTTGGTAACTCTCGCCTGATCAGAGCACGTCCAATCTAAGTCTGACTATACCCATTTTAAGAGGCTATGAAGTTTCCTAGCCAATCAACGATTAGGAATATGTAATTTGCTCGTGCTAGCTTAACTAGAACACGACCAAAAACGGGCGAATGCCATTTAATGCGCTTTTAGGCAATGATTAGGTCAGATGTTGGGTTGAAACGTGATATAGTGTATGTAACATGAAGTACTTCAAAATGCATATAAAGCATTAGACATAGACTTTGTTTTCGGTAATACGTGATATAAACAAATATTAAAATTTTAGTGGGTTAAAAAAACCTTAGTTTGAAAAAATTTTTCGTTGTGCTCAGGGACCAGCTCATGACCAGCACAACCTCTAACTTCCCCACTGTTGCTAAGTAAAAGAAACTTGCTGATCGTAAGGAACGAAAATTGACCGGTGACATATTGTAATGTTTAAAGCAGAGAACGTTAATTCATAGAGCATATTTAAGTGGGCATACATAAGAAATACAGAATTACTGAGAATTTAACTGCGACTTCAGTCAAACTTTTCCATGTTTTTTATACCCGCGACACTTTACCCGCGACACCACATACAAAAATTTCATATTTGATTTCATATATGAAATGATATGTGAAACTTATGTGAAATTGAAACACTTCATATATGAAATGTGTCTATTTCATTTTAGACATTCCAATTTCATGTATAAAATCAAATGTGAATTTTTTGTAATGGACGCGACGGTTAGATACACTCAAATTGTGCATTACTATATAACTTCACACACAGTATAAACTGAAGCGTTACGAATGACCATAAAATTAAGTGACCAAAGAATGGTTGCCACCATCATGAAATCGTTATTTCAAGCAAATGACGATATCAAAATAACCAATTCATGGATTTCGCCTTTGAATGGCCAGATCCAAACACAAGAAAATAAAGCAAGAGAGTTAAAAAGCAAACAAACCACGAGCCACAGGCGAGTAATTTGCACATCTTTCTTAACTCGAGAACATACTTGAGTGCTTGGATAAGGCCATTAAACACTTGAAAACAAATTAAGTAAATGTTTTATACAAAAGAAGAACAATCGTACTAATATTTACAAGTTTAAAATTATAGAGAGAGCAGCAATAAAAATTTTCGCTTTTGAATGGTCTGATCGATACACTTCGGCATGCATTGATCAATCTGAGTACGCGTATTACACTTAGGAATTTCTTAAACAATAAAGATAAACTAAAACTTATACGAAAACGCCGACTATATTCAAGAAATAGGAGATAAATTATCTAGCAAAAGCAGATTTTAAGTAAAAAAACGTTGCTTAATTAATGCTATCATACTGTCCATACGATAACAATGGTGCAAATCGGTCAACAAATGATACAATCTTTGGTGTTTGGAGTGATAAATTCGCTCACACCGTTAAGAGCTTATTTCTATAAAATCTTTACTTTAGATAAATTTTTTATTTTAGAAACCTACCATTGTCATCCATAGCGATCAATTTTTTCCCTTCCACTAGTGTTACTGACACAATGCCGTCTTTTTGTATAGCTTTACCGCTTTCTTTTGACTGGGTGGCTCTCCGTTGGTTTGCCTTTCGAATCAACTAAATATTTTTGTATGCTTTAGAAAATTTAATTAACTGGTGAACCGATGTCCCGCATAAGAGAACAGAAAACACTATAAAGCTTGACTGGACAGAAATTTTCAAGAAAACCAAAGCCAAGCGAGAGAAGCTGTGTACTCAAGAAAAATATTTAAGAAAAAAGAACCTCTTGGCGGTCGTCACTAGTCTTTGGTGTCAATGTAAAGATGACGGTAATCTGGCCAAGTTTTTCATTTGTTCCATTTGCGTTCTGCAGGTCCAAAGTTAGATTACGGGGTCTAAAAAATAAAAAACTTAAAATGTCAAATACATAACAATATAGATAACGTTTGACCATTGTCTGTTCAGTTATATACAATGAGTATAAAAGTTGTCGCTAAAGTCGTCAACGTGAGAGATCTGCAAAATCCTTTGGTGGAAATACGTAGTTAGATTTACAAGGCTTATCTGATATTTAAAGTTTCGCAAATAATAACCATTTTTGACTAAGAACTGTGTTACACGAAAACAAAGACTTGGGACATGAGAAATTTGGCAGATGCGTATTATTGACAATGCCAAAAATTTTGAATTTTTCGTGTTTAAATGTCAAATAAATTGTTATAATCCTCATCAATTATGCATAAATTTGAACTTAATAAATTGATGAATGCCTAGCGTTCGTGCACAGAATAAAAATATACAGAAGAGTCACTCGTGTCGGCACCTTTAATATTTTCGTTGCCCGCGCATGTCATGCCGCGCATGGTGGGCGCCATTATTCCAGCCAGATGATTAGGGTTTTTGACTTTTTTCAAACCTTCTAAATGATCCGAAGTCATTTCCTAAGTCGAAATATACTTGAATTCGTATTAAGTATTCAAGTCATGTAATTTTAATGTTTGGAAACAAGTGAGAAATCCTAATCATCTGGCTGGAATAATGGCCGATATGAGGACGCGTTATACACCTGAGGGGCCCTTCTGTATAATCATTATTCTGCGGTTCGTGCACGGTTCGGCCAAATTTCTCGAAAGCTTGGAAGCTTGACGAAAATAAGTAATATTTTACTGCTGTCTATCTCTTTTATTTTTGAGCGCAAGCTATTTCAAAAGTGCTTCTCGGTAACATAATTCTCTATCTAAGAATGGTTATTACTTTCAAAAATTTTACTGTCCGAGATCCATTGGAACTCCAACTACTTATTCCATCAAAGGCGATAACTTTAGCGACGTTTTCCTATCAGCTCAGTTTTTTTGATATACCCTGTAGATATATGTGTATGACGTCACTTGTGATAAGAGCTAAAAGCTAGCCACAAGCCACTAGGGCAAGTGATCATTTAATTGTTTTTTTATCATAAATTATGGACGTCCTACCCGTGTATCTACAATTGAGCATAGCTCAGTTGAATGTAATCTATTTGTTTTAAATAAAATTCCCAAATTTAACTTGCAAACAAGTTTCTCTAGGTTTCCTCGAGACTTGGAAAATTGTGAAGGTCAAGATTTAGCAAATATCATGCGTACTTGATCAATGGGATTGAAGAAATGCTACTGGCTAGCTTAAGTCACAAGCTGTTAGATTGCCAGATAAAATAAGCAAGTGATGACTGATCTATTTCGCTTAAATTTGGTTATCGAAATCAAAGCACAAATTAACATTATAAAAAATCGGTTTTTTACTTTTTTTTTGGCTCAAATAACGTCAACGCTTTAACTTGGTCTTTTTAATGTTTTCATTTTCCATTGAGACATAAGTTCAGGAAAAATTCAATTAATTTTCCAGTTTGTTTTTATTTTAGAAACTAGAAATTTTCTATGACGTCAATTCCGTGCGTCTGTTCTCTTCTATAGATCATAGTTCTTGGCCAATGAAATGGTTAAATTCTTCATGCTATTAAATAAAGTATTGTATACCAAGGAAATTTTGACGTTTAAGTATCACGGATACCAAATATAATACACAGAGCCTATTCATCCTATAGGACATTGAAGTAGAAGAAGACGCATAAGCAAAATGGTGAAGCTCAATCGATGATCTCTTTGGACTCACAAATAACGCAGCTCGCTGGCAAATTTCGATACAGTAGCGAAACTCTTTGGGGCATTGCTCAGTACTTCGATCTAAGCGAGAGAACAGGAAATGCTGTAAAAGATGAGTTGGAGAAAATTGTCAATAGTCTTCTGAAAGATAAAATACTATGAAGATGAAAATACATAAATCGAGGTTTGTCATTATCTGAGGACAGCCGATCTCATTGGATTAAGAACGCCATCAGTGACTCTGCCAAGCTAGAAAACTAAGGACACCAAAAAAATGAGCTCGGTAGTGTATTGTCTGGTTGCTGTTATTAAGGCAACTGGTATAATGCTAATGATGTAGAATACAATATACCACAAACAGCGATTATGACAACACTACGCCAACTATTAGCTGACATCAGGCCATGGAAACGAGAGTAAAACCTCTCTGGAAAATACTTTAATCAAGAGATCTCGGAAATAGATCAGAATGTCACAGCTTGCGAGAACAAAAAGTCTCGGCAAGGGACGATTACAATTCAGGAACTCTGTTCAAAATATATGAGAATACAAGCGGTATGGTCTAACAACCCATGCCTCACATCACGTTTTACAAACTTATGTCTCACGACCGCTGAAAAAACCTATCCCAAATTCACCTTGATCTTACCCGTCCAATGAATCTCCTGTGGCTTTTGCATTTTGGGCATCACAACAGGTTATTGAGCAACCAGTGCAGGCTGTTAAGCCACAAGAACAGGCTATTAGGCTGCAAAATGCTGCTGAACACACACAGTTGAATACTAAAGACGATATTCGTGAGAACAGAACCGAGGAATCTCATTATCCGATTAACCACAACAATACTAGTACCTCTAAATCTACTCTGTACCACCCGGAAAACGTTAGAAGCTCGTGGTCGTCCTCTCAGGAGTTGAACAAGCTGTTAAGGAAAAACCTTCGAAAGAAATTATCCTTTAATAAGGTGTGTGACATTTTAGAGGAGCAAGCGATCCCTCAAGTAGATGCACTCATCGCTCACACACCAGATCCTCAAATGTTTTATCACATTTCCTACCAAGAAAGGAAGTTCGTGCACCGGTGCACGAACGAGATAAGAAGCTCTCAGTTGTTCAGCGCGTGATGCTAAATGTCACAGGCCCATAATGCACATTACATGATATCCTAAAAAATAATATACCTGCACACACCAACGACATCAAGCAAATTGTTAAACAGTCCCTATGTCTAGTAAGTTCAACTAACAATCAACTGTCGGTACTCCGTCGCAAGAAAGTCCCTTCTGCCATTAAAAAATCAAAGATTGATCTGGCAAATCATCCGTTGCCAAACGCAAAAAAGTGGCTCTTTGGAGACGACTTCTCTTCAATTGCATCAAAATAAGCGGAGCTTTCTCGGAAACTGGCAAGAAACCTAGCACCTACAACCCCGAATTGTAGCCTAGATTAGAAACAAGCAAACAGAAGTTTTTCTCTGTCTTCAAAATATAATACCCAATACTGGATAGGTCAGTTTTTTCGCTCGAACCAACCTTGTTTCGCACGACCGCCAAGCTACCAAACCACCTCAAGCAGTGGCAAGGTCTGACAGCAGACCCAGTTATTCCAAATATAGTTTCCGGTTAAAAATTCCTTTTCGTCGTTTCCTCTTAATGAAACTCCTCAGTTCACTCAGATTCGTCGAGAATAGGAAACACTCGTGGATATAGAGGTATCCAAACATTTAGTGAAGGGAGCTATTTGCTAACTCCCCTACACGACGGATGCATACTGCAGTCGTATGTTTTTAGTATGAAATAAAGACGTGGATGTGAGACCGGTTATAATTCATAGCTCCCTGAATCGTTTCATAGAAATACATTGCTTGCAGATGGAACATCTTCAATCAGTGAAAACCCTTCTAAAACAGGGCTATTACATGACAAAACTTGATTTCAAGGACGCATATTTCTCTGTGCCAGTCCATCCTCAATCCAAATAAATTCTTCCGTTCCACTGGAAAACCAAGGCCTACCAATTCAAGGCCTTACCATTCAGCCTAAATATAGCTCCGATGATCTTCACTTGGGTAATGAAACCATTTGTGGGTCATTTGTAGAAACACGGTTTCTGTTGATAATATGGCATATGTTTGTGAATGTAGATTGTTCAGGTTGGTATAGTCCTGAGAAGGACTGTTTTTGTTGTTGTTGACTGACGTTTCGACAACCTTAGCGGTAGTCATCTTTAGAGTCAAATGTTTGGTCAAATGCCCCCTACTCAGGAGACTAAGTTTTTAGGTTTCATCATAAACTCGAACAATGACTTTCTTACTAACCCAGGGGAAAAAACAAACTTTACATCCTTAGCAGCCAACTTATACAAACGGGCAAGCCCTCACTAAGAAACGTAGCTTAAATGTTGGGCTTATTAAAATCAATCTTCCTAGCCATCTAAAAGGCCCCTCTCCATTTTCGTCTCTTTCAAGCTCTGCTTATTCCCATCTTACACAACTCAAATCACAACTCAAATCACAACTACGATACAAAAACCAAACTTCCGGAGAAACAGACAGCAGAATTTGTTGGTGGCTTCAGAACGTTTTGACAATCAATGATAGCCAAATTTTAATCCCCTACCAGATGTGTTAGTGTTTTTCCGATACAACACCTTAAAGATAAACACTTTCCGCATTTTATACTTGCTTTGAAAAGGACAACAAATCATGCCCTGTGGCCTGTTTCAAACAATACATTTTAGCAATAGCCAAGCTAAGGAAAGTCGACAAGGACAAGCCGAACAAGCTTTTTCTTTCATTTATTAAACCTTATAAAACAGTAACTTCCTTAACATTGGCCCATTAGATTCGTTCATTGCATGAATTAGCGTGTATAGACACAAAAATTTTCAAAGCATATTTAGTAAGGGGAGCTGCAAACATCAACCGTCGCTAAGGGGTCAGTTCCTCTGGAAGAAATCTTAAAGATTGCAGACTGGAATAAGGAATCGACTTTCAGGCAGTTTTACTATAGACCAGTACTACAAACTCCAAACTATGGTCGTGTTGTATTAGATAACCATGTTCAAGTCTAAACGATCTTGTAGCTATTGAGTAAATATTATGTACCATTACTGGTTGAACATAGTGTTTAACTGTACTGCGTGTTTTCTCATATATTTCGACCGGGGTTCCCAAAATATAATTCGAATTATACAAGGGTTCTTCCAGCTTGCAAGTATAAGTACGGTTATATGAGGGAACGAAGGGAGAAATATGTGACCCCTACCTTTAAACCACCCCTTGCTCACCTCAGGGTTAAATAACACACAGGAGACTCGTGGGACGAGTAAGATGAGGGGGATTGTGGGATTGCTTTGTCTCAGCGGCCGTGAGACATAAGTGTTTAAAACGTGATGTGAAGCACGAATTGTTTGACCATACCACTTGTATTCTCATACATTTCTCCCTTCGTTGCCTCATATAGGCTGAAACAACCCTAGTACAATTCGAAACATACCACTTAAATCAGATCACTTCCATTTGATAAGAATATAATACAGTCGCCCGATTGATAAAATCAATCACAGCTTCCTCCCAAAATGGGGTATTCCCATTAATTCTGTCCGATGTGCTCATCATTGGATCGAGTTTCGAAACACATACTTTCACACAAACTACCATTGAACGACGCGAAGTGAGATAACCTTTCTCCGATTGACGTTCAATTCCAAAAAAATGCAGGAGGGGGAGCAAAAATTGTCAGAACTATGCAATCAAATCATCTCGTCCACTACAATCTCACTTCAAGTTTAGCTCAACTATTGAGACTGCTTGAATCACATCGTCCAGCGATCACTAAAGCTCGTCTTCAATTTCGTTACTTTTACGAGGCTTTACTTCTGACAAGAAGTTTAAGAAACTCAAACCAAAATTTTGGAACATTAGTTCCCAAATGCCTTCATTCTTCAGCCAAAATCAATTGATGAACCTAAATTTTGGAAGTCAGCAGAATTTCCATCATCCCTCTTTTCTAAACATTACAATCTTCATTGATGTATCCTCTAATGGCTAAGGAGGCTATAGCGGCAAGCTCCATGCCAACGGCAGATGCTCGTCGAAGGAACGACAATAACATATAAACATTCTAAAAGGAGAAAAGTGCAATGTTGGCTGAAGTCCAATATTGTGGCAGACCAGCAGTCAAGACTATTAGCAAAAATAGCGAAAGGATGGTCGACTCAGTCATCATTGGATCGTTTTTAGAATGGATCCGTTCGCCTGCGCCAAATGGAAACATTAATCAACTGAAGACCAGACAACTACGCTCTCGACTTAGAGGCTTTTACAGTGAACTGTGGACACTCGAGGAGCTATGAATTTCCCCCATTCAATTTACTTGTTCGAGTCTTCTGCAAAGTAATCTAAGAGAGGCGGAGTCTTACTCTTCCCGACTTGGCAAACTCAACCCTGGTAGCCTTTACTACTCAGCTTGCTCGAGAAGCAGACAATACGTCTTACGCCAAACAACACACTTCTCATATGTTCAACAGACCCTCATCAAATCCACTTAATCCACCAACGCCATCACTTGGGCGTTATCTGTATATCCAGCAGCGTTTAAAAGCGGAAGGCTTTCCTGAAAACGTTACCGATCGTCTAATCTAAGCCATTCGACGCTCCCCATTAAAAAACACATACAAATCCATCTAGAGACGCCGGTGTAACTGGTCTGTCTCAAAAGCGACTAATCCTATTTTGGAAACAATTAATAAAATATTATTCTTTCCAGCCATTTACTTCAAAGAGGGTCTTTATCAGGTAAGGAAGTATTTAAATACAGCTTTCCATAGTGAAAAAATATCATGCTTTGCGCTATCTCACTGCTGACAAAAGAAAATCGTAAGGCTTCACAATGAAGATCTTCTCTTAGTTTATGCTATTTCCTACCGGGTACACCTTACAAACTATTTTGTATCCTGTTGTGCGCATTAATTTTGTAATTTTTCTAGTTTAAACGACTTATTACTTCCGTCCCCTTGTTTCCTCAACACTTGTAACCTTTGCACTAAACTAGCTAGTCTGTCGCTATATTGTTCGTGATTTCAAGCCAAGGATTATTCAACGTCATTCCTTTTACTCTTTTTTCTATACCAAACTCAACATGTATGAATGGGTGGTAGGACACTACTAGTATGAATGTTTTATGCAGTGCGGTGTTTGAAATTAAATGAAGATATGATCTTCGCACTTTGCTGGACAATTTAAGCAATTATCAGGTTCATGAGACGATTGCTTAAATTGTCCAGCAAAGTGCGAAGATCATATCTTCATTTAACACTACTAGTATGTTACAACAATTATGCGAGGCATACTCATGCAATAATAGTCTTTCTAAGCATCATTATTCTTAAACATGGGACGAGAAACTAGTAACAAAACACAATTCTAAGTGGCTCTCCTCATTGTAGCAATTGAACATTTATTTTTGTACGGTTTTTAAAGTCATGATTAACACGAACTTACTTTGATATTTACGGTCATCTCCAGATATCTATTATTTTACTATCGAGTAGCAAACACCTACAGATCACTTAATAATACAGGCATAACCAAATATTTTAGAAACAAGCAATAATGAACAGTGGCGTAGCTAGCAAAAAATGTTTGGTCATGCTCTCTTACAATCTAGCGAAGCGCCACCATGGTTGGGGCCGTGCGAGAAAATATTTAAAATTTACACCATCTACGACCCCAAAAACACATTTACCCGACCAGTTAAAGTTTAAGCAACCCTTGGAATCTACGAAAAAATGTTTTTAAAAAACAATATTCAATATTTAAGTCAACTATAATTAGTAATCCAGGAAGTAATTCACTCTCGCTCTTTAAGATTACAAACGATTATTTATGTTCTGCTTTACTGCATGAAAACAATACAAACTATGTAACTTTTATGATGGGGAAGGCAAACTAACAATAATATAAAAAATGAATAAAAGAAAGTTTATTGTTGAGAAGGAGTAAGATTATTAGGTAGTTTTTAGATAATAAAAGAAATAAAAAAACCATGAGTATTTTTGACATTTATCAAGAAGCATTATTGATAGGAGATTTATAAACCATCTTGTATCACCAGGATAAGAAAACTCAATTATGTGGGAAGTAAGAAAAGACTTTTCTTTGGAGTATTGTTTCTAAAAAAAAGTGGAAAGTATAAACATTAACAAAGAAAATATTCACAAGTAAAATTGAGGTTGTAGTTTGCCACAGTACAAGACTAAGGTTATGGGCAGCACAATGAACAACATAAGCAAACTTGAGTTATGTAAAAGGAGTTTATTGGTTGTCTTCACATGATAATCAAATTTTAAAAGTGATGGATAATTCACTTTTGTATGTATAGAGGTTGATAAGACAACTGATAGTTCCAACAAAGAGCAATTATGATTGCTGGCATAAGTAAAAAGTGAAGTAACATTGAAATGCAGCTTGGATTTGTGTATGGAACTTTTAATAAAACTGCAACTGCTATATCAACATTGGTAAAAGGTACGTCGAATAACGCCTTTTAATGATACTTCTCATCTTATTCATGCGAAAAATACTTATTTGCTTTTTAGTGGAAACATCAGTTGTTTCATCAAACTGAATAATCACAAAGAGCAATCATTTATCTTAAATTTTATCTTCTATTATCAAGTCAAAAAATCAAATCATTCAACATGTCTGGTGACACATTAGCAGAACATGCATCCAATCAAGCCTATGATGCAAATATCCTCTAAAGACAAAATCAACTATAGCAAAACTCTCTTTAAAATTCTCTATTTATGCTATCATTTGATTAGTCATGACCAATACAATTATATCAGTTTGAATATAAACAGCAGTTAAAGTTTTGAGGATTGCTTTATTTTCCCTTACCTCTTACATTTTATTTCAAAGTGTAATGTCTTCACGTTGTGATTGTGACACAAGAAAGTTCACATTAACCCAGAGCCAAATTCTTTGCACGTACTATAAATTTACAAGTTACCATGTACGAATTGGTCTTGAGTTTCTTAAATTTAATTGCCCATGACGTGAAGAAAAATCCTTGAATCCTAGGAGCAATAGGCAGGGCCAGGAAAATCATTGACCTTGCGATGCTATCTTGACTTCGTTCTTCCGTAAAGCCTATCTTTTTTTATATATCAACACTCTCGAAAGCTTCAAACACACAATGTTGTTTACAATTTCGGCATCAGCCTTCGGTTTACAATGATATTTTAGTAGCCAGATTATCAAGCAAAGAAAACCTTCTCGGCAAATAACCGATGATATCTGCTTCGGCAGAATACATACATGGAAATAAATGATGGAACTACAAACACGAATCTCGCACATAAAGAAAATTACTCGCGAGATTAAGTTTGGTCATGCCACAGAATAGATATCTTAACAGAAGGTCTACTCGTGTCGAAATCTCTGATGTTTGTGTCCCCCACTTTTTTGAAGCAAATTTTAAAGCATACACACGCCTTCCAGAAAGATACTTTGGCTAGATCGCAGTAGAAAATATAGATGTTATTACAAATATATCGTTTTGCTCTAAAAAAGCTTGGAACCTTATCTTTATCGCAAGACGATAACTCTTTGTGAAAATTTCGGCAAACTTTAACTTTAAACGTGAATTATTAGTAAAATAGCATTCTCGTGCAATACTATTCCATATTGATTTTGTGAAAGTATCTTGCTGGGAAGTCATGCATGCGAAGTTAAAAAATGCGCCACGATTATAGCCAAGTGGGCCTTCTGTTAGTTGTCTATTCTGTGGTCATGCCTTTCAAAATCAGCATGACCAGATGAGGTAAAATGCCGCGTTTGAACATGCTCAGATGCTCTTATCCAATCAAATTGGCAAAAATTTCACTTTAAAGTATCTTACTTGGTCAGGCTGATTTTTGAGAGCATGACCAAGTCGCGCTTATAAGTGTAGAATAAGTTTTAGTTTAAGCTGTTGCCTGGCAGCAAGGTAAAACATAATGGAATACTAAAATAAGACGTAAAATGCAATTCATTAGTTGACCTTATTCCCAAATACTTATATATAAATAAGAAACAACCAGGCATCAGAATCTACAATGAATCTAATAAGAATGAAATAATTTTTGTAGAAATTTTTAGTCTTGTTGAGCATGACCAGCACGACCGTTAGCTACGCCACTGATAATGAGACCTCTACAGCTACTTACTTATTGACCTCGATCATTGATAGGTCGACTACCACCGTACCCATAGGATCATCACTGCTAACTCTGTCAAAATCAAAGACTTTGATAACCAACGGCATGCTGATGTCCTCGATTGGCACACAAAATTTTTCATTCCATTGAGGATTAAGATTTTTGGGTATAGTACGGCTTTTATATATCTGTTTACCATCGGCCTTGAACTTCACGTATGGATCACTAGTACCTGCGTCATAAAAACAAAGGCAATTAATTTTTCATCTCAAAAAGAACAATACCTAAATTTAAAATATGGTGTTTTAAGAGTTTTGAGTAAATGCTGCGTGGACAAACAGTGTTCAGAAGAATATAGGACCACAATATAAGAGGGCCAGACACTTCTTCGTCTATATGTTCGTTGCATTTAGATGTTTTTGTTAATTTATATTTTAACTATGATTTATATTATAGCATTAATAATCCAATTTAGGTAAACGAACAATTTAGTTAGAGATCGTTCGCATAACTACGACAAAATGTTTATGATGCTCAATTAAAGAAGCAATTACCATATAGGTAACATTTGCTGTAAACGGTGTTCATTTTTAGCAGGTGACAAGCACCACTTCTGGTGAAATAGTGCGTTTTAATTTGCTCAGACACATTTTTCCGGCCATTACTTACGAGTATGATTAAAACTTTGGAAAGTTAATTTTATCATCCAGACTACAAAATTTCAAACAATTTAATTTTTACTACCAAAAACTAGAGGAGTAAAAGAGAATTTTCGGATGCAGCGAGCTATAGAAAAGCAATAAACCTTCTTTTTAGCACAAACAATGTCATACGATAAACTTTTAATTATCCTTGCTTACTTGGTTTTTAAAGAGAAACAGCAGACTTCTGTCTTATTGTCAAAACCAATACGTGCTCAATCAGTACAAAAACACCTCAGTCAATATTGGACTTTACTCCGTAAAGACCTCGCATTCGGTTAATAAGGCCTTCTTCACATATGCAGGATCAAAACCTCAATTCAATGAATAAAATAGCACATATCCTACGAGCATGCTGTTTTCTTTCAAATCCATACAAAAATTTTCAATTTTATTCATTGTTATTATATCGGCTATTGGAGTGTGTGACGTGAAAAGTTATTTTTTATTCTGCGAGATCGGGCTACCTCCTACCGATCATTTTTACCAATGATTGAATTAAATAAGATTGGTTCTTATGCATACGACGACAAACTATATTTGCATACGTTGTTTCCGCGAAAAACCTGTCTTCAGTGCATGAGAATGTCGTAAAGTTACATTGACGTACATCCTTGTTACTAGCAATCGACCAAGTCGTCAAAAGTTGCCAATAAAGAATTTCATAAGAGATTACTACTAAAGATTAGGGCACAATTAGATACCACTGACAAAGCACAAAAGATTTATACAGGTTTTGTAGAGCTCAAAGAAAACAGCAGTGACGAAATCTATAACGAAAAACATTTCGGTCGACTAAAGCCCATGTCATTCGCTATTTCTCTTCAAACGGGGGAGGTACTAAGCAGGACCAAAATCACGAACTCTAGATAGGGCATATTCAAACTACAGCACATAGGTTTTCATGGGCTGTTCTGCATAGAATTGTTGTGCTAGAAACTCGCAAAATGCCAAAGGGAGTAATCACAGCTAATTTTCATCTCTAATTTAACCGCTAATTATTATGAAGAAAAACAAGTAAGACTTCGTAGCTGGTTACAAAATAGAATGCTATCGCTTTTTTTCAAGCTAAAGTAATGGTCTTACAAGTGCTTTTAGCTGCATGTAGATATGTTACTTTGCACATACAGATTAACACAATGGCGGATTTAGGGTACCTCAAGTCCCTCAAGCGAGGTACATAAAATTTCCTAAAAATTTCGTAATAACTGAGATAGTAGGTTTTAGTCCAGTTAAGTTACAAATTGCGACCAGCGTGCAGTATCTGATCATGATAGGCTAAAATTTGCAGTTACCATGGTTTCTGAGGGACTTGAAGAAATTTTGAGGTACCAAGGAAAACTTTGAGGCTCTAGAGGAATATTTTGAGGCACTTGCAAGTTTTTGATCTTGAACTCTGTTTGCAATAATGTCTATGATTTACTACGACGTTCTGTGTTTATACTAGAATAGCATTTGATTGGTGCATTTCATCAACTCCCTCATGAGCAGCAAGCGTACCTCACAAAGATGCTATACTTTATCTTTCCATATATTGGAGATACTGTCATTATTTGTGATTTACGGCACACTTTTTCTTTGAAAATTGAATAGAGATTGCTTTCAAGAAGCCCAAGAGGCAATGAATAGCAACAACAAACATGAAACAAGCTCTGTTGCGTCGGTACAACGAGCGACGCGGCCAATTAAGCACAAAGCAGAGATGTGTCTATGGCTTGTTGCAATGAAAACTGTGCAATTCAATAAATCGGCATACCGTCCGTGAGACTTACATTCCATGCAGTATGAAATCGCAAGGAAAGATCTGCCCTGCATTCTGGTAAGGATGGTTTTATTTGGCCGTTAAATTTAGCTATTGTTTTGTCCCATTACGACGCTAATTGAATTTTTGATAACTTGTCAACGTCTGGTATTTTGTAATTTTTGTATTAGGCAATATTTGGCAGTGCAAGAGTCGTTCGTTTACTAATGGAGGTCTTATTCCAATCTAATAATGTAACAACCAAATAATAGCTTGTAAATTAAAATTCTTGTAGTATTCGTTCAAAGAAAATCGAGAGTGATTATACATTTTACTTTATATGGCAATATTTACATATGCTCAACTGCTGATAAGTACGTACAATAACACTAATGACTGTGTGATATGTAAAGTTTAGTTAGGCGTATTTCAACTAAACATAGATCATTGGAACCTTGCATATCTCAACCACGAGGGAATTGCCCATAAAAATTGTCTATTGACAATAATTGAGCACAAACAGTTATATTTTTGAAATGTTTTGAAACCTTGTTATCTATGGCAGGTAGAACTTCTCTAACTTTGATTCTCAGATGCCTCATACCACCAGATAAGGTTGAAATTCTCAAGGAAAGATATCATTCTGTATAGAACATTTTACTACTTAAAATTGCTTTAACTTTTTCTGTGTTGTTAGGGAGATATCAGCTTCAATGTGTTGACATTATATAATAATTTTCTCTTTTATACTTGAGGGTATATCCACATTATGGATCTCTAAAATTTACTTCCATGCCTTTGCAAATGATGTACGTAGTAGCTAGGTGGATGCAACAATCAACATCATAAGAAATATTTTAGAATTGTATTCAAAACAATGAATAATTATGTTAGCCTGTGTTTTTGTTACTCAATGTTTAAATCACCTGTTTTAAAATCTTGTTTCTATTTAATAACATGAATTTTATTATTAGGGTATGCGAGCCTCCTATTAGCTGGAACTGAGAAAGTCGCAACTAGGAATGAAAAATGCTGGAAATATAAGATAAAACATCAAAAGATGGCTTGTATAAGAAACATGAAAACTGAACTTGATAAGTAAACTTTAAATATTTATTAGTCATTTTTTTCACAAGCTGAACCTGTTGTATCAAAGCCAAACAAGTCAAAATTTAAGTCTGTTTTCCTTTCCTTTAAAGACTCTTTTATGTGCCACACACCAAATGTTATAATTTTGAATAAAATTTTTAGACATTTTGACTTTAAGTCCTTGATAAAACCTGTCTTAGTTTAATAATCGTGATTTTGATTAAATTTTGTTTTAAAATACAACACATAGACCGGAGAAGCAGTTTTTGTTCGTATAGTTTTTTTCTTGTATGGCTTATTATGCATGCCTTAACCTGTATTTGGGTAAATACTTATTTTTAAAGTTGTATTATGTATCTTTTTGTAACATCGGCATTGATTGTATAAAACCCTCTCTGTTTTTTAAGACCCTTAATTGTCAAATTGGCATATAATGCGTAAAGATCTTGGGGGCTAAAATTCCAAATGAATTATTAGTATATAGAGAATTTCACTCATTAACATTTTGATACGTCAAATGTTCCACATGTGAAATGCATTCATATGTGAAATTTTGTTCATATGTGAAATATATTCTTATGTTAAACAAATCATATATGAACTCATTTCACATATAAACACATTTCATATGTGAAAGATTTCACATATAAAGTGTTTCAATTTCACATAAGGATTTCACATCTCGTTTAATACATGGAATTTTAACAAGAAACCCTTGTAAGGGTTTACAGCACGAACGTAAATTTGTTCCGTATTTTAAAATTTAATGAGTATAACATGTTCCAAAACCCATCTTGCGCAATTTGTTCTCTCTTTATAGGTGTTTCGAGAAATTTGCTCGAGAAAAATATTCTGTTGTTATATAACAAGATGTTTTGCTTCTGATGAGATTGCTATAAATTCTTTTTATTTTTTTCTATATGAAAGATTTGACATATTGAAGACAATTGCGTCAAAATGAGAAGCATACATGAGAAAAAGCATTTCTTATATAAAGAAAAAAAATCTTAATATTTTTTAAGAAAAAATTCTTAAGAAAATTCGTAAGAAAAAATTTTTAATATTTCTTAACGAAAAATGTCTTAAGAAAACTCGTAAGAAAATTTTCTTTTTATTCTCCCAAGAAAATTTTCTTATAAACGTCCATTATTTCTTAAAATAAGAAAAAAAATTTTTGCTGTGTAGTTTTGCGAAAGATTTCTATCAAATATGAACTTTAGGTAAAGATAAGAATAAATTTATTTAGGTTTATATATAATTTACATTGTTACTCTTTTTAGAGATCTGTCGTTAGATTTTATTTTATATCAAACCTGGTGTTCTTGTGATGGTTTTAGTATATGGTTTGTCGTGAAAGAATTGAATATGATAATCAACTAAACAAAAACAAATTTAAAACAGAATTATTAGCATATTAAATTTAATAATTTAAGTTAGGGCATCAAAACTAAAAGTTTGGAAGGAATTTAATAAGTATGGCATAAGCTTAAATGGCGAACTTACCTAAAACATTTTAGTCCTTAACTACCCGTTATTTTTATCCAGGTTAATATAATGTTTATATAAGTTTTATTGTTTATAAAGTTCTCTAAGGTTTTAACAAATATTAAAAGCTGAAAAGATATAATAGTTTTAATAGCTTTCATGCTATGATTAAAAGTTTACGAAAAGGTAAATTACCACGGTAGAAATTGTTTAATTTGATAAGAGTTCAAAATTAAACTATTTTTAGCGCGTATTTTAATAATTTTTAAATCTTACCTTAACACATCAGTAATTCTAAAGACTTGATAAAATAAAATTGTTTAAATAGCAATAGTACTTTATTACTATTTGGACATGTATTGTTAGATGTTTTAGAGCATTTAGACAAATTAATTACAATTTGTGCAAATATACACAATTTCGACGCGAAAGCTTAGCATATTATAGGCTCAATTCAAGCGTCGAACATTTTAACGTGCCGAAACAAATGTTCTTTTTATGATCATTGCAGAGTAAATTTCGGGTATACTAAATGAGTAGCTGCAAAAAGGCAAAAACTTAAGCATTTTCTGAATGTTATTCTAGGAAAAATGAAAATAATGGAAGGCTTGGAGCACTAATTGCTAAAAAAGAAATTTAAAGCTCAGACATACCAAATGCTTTCAAGTGGCTTGAACACCTCAAGCGATCAAAGCAGTGCAGTAGCTAACCTCGATAACAGGGGGGGCAATGTATTCATATATGCATGTCATAGTCCGCAGAAAACAATTGCTTTCAAAGGACACAGGAGAATATGAATATATGAACATTGTCTTTCCCCTAGTTATCGATCAAGTAGCTAGCTAGTAATTACTTAAACCAATAAGACTGCTGGATAGAAATATGACAGCATTCAATTTCTAAATCAAACCACACAAGGGAAAGCTGAATGTGTAAGAGCCATCGATAGCGGCCTAGTAACAAAAGAAGTTTCCCAGAACTTGCCTATGTATAAGATTGGCTTTTCAAATTCCTTTATCCTCTAATGAGTAATACATATAGAATCATTTGCCTATAGTGAAACAAAGATTAGAGTTTTACCTTCTGGACAACTAAACACCTCGTTGAGCTCTTAGCTCCACCATTTTTGCATTGGTAGCTATACATACATAATTGCCACTCCCAATGGAAGAAGGCGAAAACCTAAAGATCTCAAGCAGTATTTTGCGCTAGTATAAATAGTTACGACCTCTGTGTCAAAGCTTTTTAAAAACGTGCAAGATACTATGAAGGTTATCTTAAACCTACATCGTTTGACTAAGTTTCTCACACTGTCTCCAAAAAGCAATGTTTTGACCAAACATATGGCAAATGTAAGGGTCTTTGGTTATTGTAGAACACGTGGTGTCGTTAAGTAGATCACATTCCAGGGAAAGAGAAAAGAAGACAACTTCTTAGTTCTGAGATGGTTACTTTGCATGCTACAATAAAAGTTTTTAGTAAGATCACTAAACGTTTTCTCACATTTTTGAGTAAGTTTAATGATTGCTAATCTGAAAGCCATGAACACATCAGCCATTTATTAAATGCGTATTCTAGTCAATTTTATCGGCAATGCTTCTTCCTATGCTGACACAAACCAAATGTTCAAAACCTTAATCATTGACTCATTTCAATGATACTGTGATAAATTGATACAATGTTTGCATTTGCAATAAATAATATTTCTTAACTATAGAAAGCACATAAAATAAGTTCAATATATGCATTGTATGTTGGCAATGACTCCAACATGCCGTTTTGTCAGTTGCTTTAACATTGAGGTAATCCCAGAAATTCAGATGACTCTATACAATGACATCTTACGTAAAACAACTGCCACGGCTTGTAACAACCAATTTATAGTGTGTGCAATACGAGAGCAATCAATGAAACAGTCAACCCCAACGCCATAACCCCAAAAAATTTTTCGCAAAAAGAAATCTAGGCATCATTTCTAGTATTTTCGCAAAAACAGAAATTAATTTGTTCAATTTTTATCGCGATTTATATTTAGTATTTGATGTCTAACGGACGTCGTATTTTGTAAAGGCAAATAGACTGGCTCTAGCTTTGTTTTTGACGTAATGCAAGGGAGTCCGGAGTCGGCAATGTTTTGATGTTATTTGGGGTAGGAGAAGTGTGATGAAATTTGACGGCTAATTCATAATTCTTTTCTGATTTTCAATAAAATTTCGTGGTAATCATATTCTTTATACGTAACACAAAGTTATTGCAAAGTTCTAAGACCGATGACTAAAACATTAACTTCGTTTCGGGAAATATTATTTAATAGACTGAGGGCAACCACTACAAGACAGCAGCGACAATAATAATGGTTTAGCAGCAGATGTGAGACGGAGCTTCGACTAACAAAAATCGTTCGCAGGCTACAATACACATGTAAGAAAACGCTAAGATGCGTAAAAAATGGTACAAAATCGACGAAATTTGTCTGTGAACGTAAGCGAGTGGTTTTAATATTCTTCATTATAAAACAAGGTCATCTGAATAATAAGCAATGTAGCATTTTCTCGTAGTATTTTGACAGACTGACGTTAACGATCCTTTTATTTTAAACGGACTGTATACGATTTATAGGCCATGGGCCCAATCGCAAAAAGTCGTTTAGAAATAACATCGTCATGCGTCCATGGAGAAACTAGCTGAATTTTACAACATAGGTAGTTTAAATTATATCTGAAGGTAGTTAAAATATATATGAAGATCGTCCAGGTCAGTAGAGTCCTGAGAAGGACTGTTTTTGTTGTTGTTGAATGACGTTTCGACAACCTTAGCGGTAGTTATATTCAGAGTCAAATGTGAGTCACATTCAAATGTGACTTCTCAGGACTCTACTGACCTGGACGATCTGCATCTACAAACATGTAACACAAGAAATGAGTTATGATCTAAAGAGGTCTTTGAAAAAATGTGAAGTGCACCAGCTTAAAATTGTCATCACAAAGAAAAACATGAAAAATCTATGTCATAATAAGACTGCTGATAAAACATCCAATAGTATATTTTTAAAAACATTTCAAAAGTATATACAGGGTGACCCAAAAAGATTCGTACCCATGAAAATTTCAATTAAAGAGCTATTTATTTCAAATTACAACCACACATCATTCAGTTTATGGAAGACTATTCACAAGAGTTTCGGCTATTTCTGTCAATTTTTAGTCAATTTATGGCTTTCCCAAGATGTGTTCCAAATGTCCACCATTTCGTTGCAAGCAAACCTGTACTCGTCTGGCAAAGTTTTGAATCACTTTTATACACTCCTCTTTCGGGATGGCTCTTATTTTTGCTGTGATGGCAGTTTTAAGTTCTTCAAAATTAAATAGTCTTCCATAAACTGAATGATGTGTGGTTGTAATTTGAAATAAATAGCTTTTTAATTAAAGCCATAATTGAAATTTTCATGGGTACGAATCTTTTTGGGTCACCCTGTATATCAACCATTTCAAACTACTACTTCACCGAACAAACGAAAAAAGGACATTTTCTCTCTGTTTGGTTGAACCAAAAATCATAAATACCGTATATTTTAATACCATAATAAGTATATTTTTCCACGTCGGTTTGTTAATAAAATTGCTAATTCGGCCGTGAGTCCTTATCCACTGTGGAAAGTTATGACTTTGAGTGTCTTAGTCGTCCATATTTCTGTTCAGAAGCCTTCTTGTCAGCGTCATTACTTGCAATGAGTACATATTTGGAGCCTTGTCATGTCATACTGTATGTACAGTATACTAAAACAGTAGTAGTACAACGCTCAACCAGCAATATTTCACAACTACAACAAAGATGTCGTGCGCACTGCAAACGGCCTATTGTAAATGTTGGACATGACAGCTCAAAATGACATGGTTAATAAACAACAAAGCTCAAAAATTGAAAAAATGGACTCATAACTTAACAAATGACATAACATAAGAAAGCAAACACGACCCCTCAGATACCATCTGTCAAAATTATAGATTGATGTTGAAATGACAAATCGCTCTAATTAGTTTGAAGCAACATTAATAAAATAATTCATATACAACACGCATTTCTTGTCTTATCGAAACAAAAAAAAGGCACCGAAGAATCACAACTATTCTAAGTAGTATTTGAAGTGAATTTCGAGTAATAAACTCAAATTGAAAAGAAATGTAGCTTTGAAATTAAACTGGTACCATGTAATCTCATATATACTGAAGTACAAGTCGCCAAAACTGAAACTTCCGTATGTTGATCGTCTTCTTTTTCTTTATCTCATACTTATTCGCCTATTCTGCTCTCTTCGCAGTAATTGGACAAAGTAAAACTGAATTCACAATTGTAATGGAATTTGCAGAGCGCCGGTATGGGTACAAAACATTCTGAAGAGCGAATATTTTCAGCGAAAGACAAACTGTCAACGTAAAGGTCGTCAATTAGCCCCAGAATTTGACGCGGATTCCTGCGCCTTTTCAACTTATTACATGAAAGTTTTCTCCATTTAGCAGTAGAAAAAGTTAATATACACAAAGAATCAAGTGGAAATGATGTTATTTTTGAATTAGCACTGTTTTTGATATGCATAACGCAAAAAACTCGTCATTAGAGTGAGCAACTTCAGCAAGTTTGTTGTTCGCTATTTTTTAACAAGTGTAGTGAAAGACCTTTCACCCTGACGCTACCTGATTGGTTAAGGGTAAGACTCTCTTTGCTTTGAATGGCTAAGACATAAAAAACATAACATTGGTTTCATTTTTCTCTGACCATATATTCAAGATAAAATAATCGATTTTTCTCTTTAATGTGCAAGTTATACGATTGACATACGGAACCGCTTGCGTATTTGTTAACATATGGTACGCGTATGAAACGCATTTGATACGAAAAACATACGCGTATGATACGAGAACGATACGCGTATGATACGCGTATGATGCGAGAACGATGCGCGTATGATACGAGGATGAAACGCTGTGATACTTGATAGAACTTTATTCAACGTAATGAGCAGCAATTTTGCTTTTTCATACGCGTATCGTACGCAAAATTATGTTAACAAATTACGAGAGCGGTACCGTACATGCTAAAGTTGATAAGTACTACTGCAGCAACTTGATAGTTAAAAATTTTTTCGTTCCACGATGGACGCATGAAAAAATCACATTTTCGAAGTGGGCCCATGGCCTATTACTTTCTTTTCGTCAGGAAACAATAAAAAATAGTACTTGTAATCTTTAGGTATTAAATGCGCAAAATATACAGTTTAGACTTCCAAAAGGTTTAAAGAAGCCTTATCAAATTCAACTGATATTCTTGGTCGCCTTTTGCTTCTCGTCGCTTGTCGTTTAGGCACATTTTATTTGTCAATTTAGTGGCTAGAAAACTATTTGCCATACGAAAATTGTTTCTTATCAAAGTATTGAAGTTGATCAATCCCTTGGATGACGTCAAAAAGTTTACTCATTTCAGGCTTCTCGCTGCCACGGACCTGATCCACTCAAAAGACGCATTTTGCTAAATTTAAAGCGCGATAAAAATTGAACGACTCGACCAATTAAATTTTTGTTTTCACAATAATACTAGGAAGAATGCAACAATTTCATTTTCCAAAAAAAAATGACGTTATGTGCTGTTTAAGACGGAATCGAGTTAATTGCACTTTCAAAACCATTACTAAGAGAAATTGCTACGGGCTCAAAAAGAGAAACGTTACAGAGAAAAAGACTAAGAGTGCAAATATGTTTATATTCAATTTAGACGTCGACAAAATAAGAAATTTGTCATTTTCCTGTAATAAAACGAGATATCTTATATCAATGCTATCTGCTACACCAGCAGTATTTAAGAAAAAGTTAGGTCCATGCCTAATAAAGTCAAAGCTGTTTTCAACGCAAAAGGATATCATACACAATTTTAAAATGGCGTCAACTTGTTCTAAATCATTAGGTTTCATGCAAAAACAAATTGTATGCGCTGTAGTGCTTTATGTGGGTCAATTATGTTGAATGAGAATCAAACACACGATCGCATATGCTGGATTCTGACTTTTGACTCCCAGTGTATGTTCGATGTTTAAATTAAAAGACAAAAGTAAGTTGACAGCAACAAGCATTAAAAACTTAATGTTCGACGTTTGAACAGGGCCTTATATTGGCGCATCCTTCTAGTAGATTTAGACATGCTATGAGTTAAATTTGTCAGCACTCATTTAATGTACAAGCATTAACCATAATTTTTTTTAACGAAATAAATACAGAATATTAATGTTCTGAAATTTACATAGCAGGAATAAAACCTGCAGGCTCACTAGGCCACTGATTGAACAAAAAATATGAAAACATAAAACAGCTATAACTTTGAAATGCTGGACTCACAGTTGGAAGAGGGTTTCTTACTTCGCATTATGGAAATGAGAAACATAATAATGAAATTTTTCCCTACACCATGTAGCATTCTAAGAACATATGCGTGCGTTCTAAATCCGTTTTTACATTATAAAATAAAAGAAGTACACAAGTATGTATAGTAGGAAGCAATCGCAGTTTATTTGCTGTATAGTCTTACCTGTTTTATCTCTGGCAGCAAGATTAATGCCTTCTTTGAGCTCCACCATCAGAGCGAAGAAAGCAAATTTGCCGGTTTTTGCAACTGATGCAGCCTAAAATAAACAATAATTCAAGTTAACACAAATACACAGTGATTATGAAACAATAATCCGGATACGTCAAACGTAAGCCCCACTTCCGTTTGGGAAATAAATCATTGCATTGACGATACATGAGTCGCTCGCTATAAGTCGTTTTGATTTGGAAAAATAAACATAAATTTGTAGAAGTTTCGTTACTTATTTGGATTCAAATTTATTGCAGCAGGTACTTATTGAGAATGATGGAAGCGAAAAGATGTCATCCTGCAAAATGGCAAAATCGAAAGAGAACATTTATGTAAATCGTATACCAAGAATATAAACATTGTTTCGTATGCATAAACTAAATTCACAAAAGCATTTTAAAACTTACCGTCGAGCCCGGACCAAATTCCTGAGAACTTTCTCCGTCGAACACAAGGTTCGCTGGACGAGAACTTGGGCTCTCAGGCGTATGGCCTATATCAGATGTTTGAGATACAAATTTTTCATCAGAATGAGTTATATTTGCCAGCACATGAGTTTTGTCTTGTCTCAGGTCGAAATTCACAGATCTTCGACTTGAGGATCTCATTTCGCTTATATGCGTCAGCGAACGCGACAGAAAATTCTTCCTACCCTTCTTCTTCCTCTTAAGGCTGTTGAAAATTCCCTTTTTCTTTTCGCCTGTCGAAAGCACAACTAAATGAAACACATGGCCAAAATTTATACATATTATAGCGGAGAAATGTCAACAAAGCCACATTTATGATAATATCAAAACAATGCAATAATTTTCATACTACAGGAGTTAAAATACCTTTTTCGTCGTCAGACATCGCCAAAGTTCTTCAAAATACTTTAGAACAATTCAAAAATTCTACACCGTACCTGCTTCTTCGAAGACAATTTTCAACTCGTTCGAGTTGTAAGTTCTAGCCGAATTTGTACGCATGACTTGTGCGCAGTCGCGTCCGCGTCCTTGTTGCACCGCAAGCAAGTTTGTTACAGGTGACCGATGTCAACACCCGCAAACTCGTCTACTATTTTCTATATGTGCTACCTCCTGAAAGTTTATAAAAAAATGGCCACAAACCTGTACTATGTTTTATGAGCGTAGCGTTTTTACTTAGTTTTGTCGGTAAGCGTCTCGTACCCAACTTAGTAATAGTATATTGCTGGCACATGTATATATTGCTTAGTAAGTAAACTAATACACCCTGAAATTTCCTTGCAATTAATAATTAATTATCACTTATTTAATTCCAACGCAATTATAAGTGGTTAAAGGTATCAAGTGCGCTTGAAATTTAACTGTCATTGTTTAGTTAAGTCCTGGCAACTCATAAATCGCAATTAAAAAAATCCTCCGTTTACACTTTGATATTATCAAAGAGATTTGAATGTTAAATAAGATATCCTTCCTAAATAATTTATCACCAACGATCAGTTTTCGTAGGTGTATTAGATAAGACGTAGTCAATTCGAGGCATCGCGTAGGTCAGTTTGAACGATGTGTTTTTGGTGATGCCGACTATTTTCAAAAAATCGGCGTAAATCGGCGGAGACGTTTTTTGGAAGGGAAAAAGCGTTGCATAGATAAACAGTGTTTTACCACGTGGTCATTGTTTTTGTTGAAAATGTTATAAGCTAAAACGTCTCCATCCAGCATGGCAGTTACTAGGAATAAAAAATAATAAAATAGCACAATAGCACAATATTTTGCTGGTGTATAGTAAAGTTCCTGAGAAAATATATTAGTTATTAACGTCAACTGAAATTCCAAAAGGGAGATAATGCGTATTCAATGGTGTAATTTATACCAATAACTGGACCTAGCATAAAATTACTAAGTCGCAGCAGAATTGTCAGTGACATAATTGGAACAATCATTTACACAAAATTTACTTTTCTGTATATGCATCGTGGCAGAGCAAAACAAATGTTATAGAACAGTAGAAAGGATACAGATATGTTCCATTGATCTGAAATATACTGGATAACCCAACCAATACAAAATTTCTAGCAAAAATTGAAGCCGGAAGTAAATCTGCCCTAATGGAAGTTGCGGATGCACTTTTCTATAGATATTAAAGAATCACAGTTTTTACATTATTTTGCCTTTTACGCGTTTCTGATGGGAGCAGTTTTTTATTAGAATAGAGAAAAGTTAGAAGAATACTTTGAAAGAAAAATTTACGGTTATTTTGACTTCATAACGCTGTGATACTTGATTCGCAAATTTGAAGAAGTGAATAACCTTGCAGTGCACAAGCTTGTTCTAAATAAGACGAAGGATTTTGCTGCCCTACAATACACAAGACAACAAATCCTGAAGAGCATTCTACTTCCGCAAGAGTAACAAGACAGCATCGTCAGGTAAGAAAATATCAAATTGTATTACTATCCTAAAAAATGCTAATATTTTTTAAATAGGTTATCAGAGAAGCGCCGAAAGAGGAAAATGTCATTTAAAAGATCGTGGATCTTGTAGACGAGAATAATTTGAGGACAAGATGATGATTTGGAAGATATCTCTCTACTTGAGTGTACGCAATTAACAGACTTCCTCTTCACATCAAGGATCATATCTGAATAACCTTTCTTTCTTGTAAATAGTTGCTATAGGATACGCTTTTATGCACTCATAAAATACTGATTATTTTATAGTTCAAAGAATCCTTCACTCAAACACAACAGGCACAATATTGTAAAAATTGGCAAACGAGAATCGGCAAATGCAAAATAAGACAATCGATTTGCAGAAGAAAATAAAAGACAAGAAAAGTTAGTTTAAAAAAGGCACTAGATGATATATGCAAAACATAGACATTCAGTTTTTTAATTACATCTTATACATAGTAGTTGAGTTGATATTATTGGATGGTATAAGATGCGTTGTCATGGTTTCGGGTGTATCGATTACGTTAATGAAATTCGAGTGTTTTATTTTAGTCGTTGTGTTATTACGAGTATGTCTAAAACTGCATATATCCAAGCAAAAAAGTTGAACTCCCGGAAGAACAACACAGCTCTAATGAAGAAGAAACTGACTTTACTGAAGAACCTGGAATTTTTGAGACGTCTTTTCCAGAGCATAGTTTGTCTTCTGTTGCTGATTCCTTTACAAATGATGACATTGAAACTAATTTTTCAGATTCAGAATTATCTTCTGTTAATGAGGAAAAGTCAAAACATTTAAAGTATGTTTATATATGGATCAGTTGAGTTCTTAGTGTATAGTGCTATGCAATTGAAAAGAAAAGAAAATTTATCATTAAACAGTTGACAAGTAATTAACAATTTCATTTATTTTGAAAAGTGGTGTTCTTTCATTTTATAACGTAATAAGTGACTATGGAAATCTTCGCAGTTATCCATAGTTTATTGTATTCCTATCACAATTGCTGCTTCTGTTCACTATTACCCAGGGTGTAAGTCAGCTCAGCCTGAAATCGAGACTTGTTGTTCTGGTACAATGATGAAGATGACAACCAAATATTTCATACCCCATTATGAAAAACCAGAAAATACTTAAAAAAAGTTAACCACAAATGACTGAAACAAAAATGGCAGCTGGAAATTTTCCCTTTGTTTATCTGCATTAGTATCTGGTGCTTCCCCTTGAAAAATTCTACTGGCTTGTAAAAATATGGGACTGGCATGCTTTACCCTGAAGACTCATCTGCTATGTGTGCAAATTTTTATACTAGTTTAAAGATTATCATTTGTTTGCTTCGTCAAGAAAAACTGTTTCCCACCATCCATCTGTATTGGAAAATATACAGAAATGATCTTCATAGAAAACTTAAGCAACCAAAAAATGTTGGTCTTAGCTAGTGATGGTCGGCACGATAGCATGAGCTACAGTGCTAAATACTTTGCCTGTTCTATCTTTTGTTGCACTGTTCCCTACATCATTGGTTCAGGTAGGGTAAGAAGACGGTTTATGTAGCTTATGTGGACAATTATACGATTGTTAACATCATGCTCATTGTAGTTAAGTTAAAATGTAAAACAACTATAAAACTTCAATTCAGTGCTATTGAAGAGAAAAAAAAGAAATCTTCAGTTGAAAGACGTTTGTGAACAAAGTTTAATTGCATCTAATGCTTTACGCTGTTTCATTGACGGATTGCATTCGAATATTGTGCTTACTTTATTAGTAATGAATATTTTTTTACATAGAGAAATGTAGAGTTGAATATATTTTCGAGTAATACAGTGGCTAGCATTGTAATGTGTGAGGTAATTGCTTGAATGTTGTAGTGAGAACGATTTTTCAGTGTTTCCCATTTTAATGTTATTTGTGTTGGATTTCTACTATTTCCATGTAAGCAAGCTAGTAATAACTGTCATTGCTTTGTAAAAATATACATAGTTATAAAATGAATTAGAAAGGAGAATGAATGTGAGCAATTAGTTATCTGGATAAACCATGTTAAAATCATCTTATGTGGAGTACAACATGAACTCCATCTGGAGATGGAGAATTGATCTGGGCCAACATCAAGTCTTTCTTGTCTCACGTGGATAATAAACATTCCGACCTTCCTAATAGAATATTTAGCAGTGGTTCTCATGCAGAGTCTATACCAGATAGACAGTGGCTTGAAGGAAGTATACATACCATTTGACTTAATTATTGGATAAACCATGTCAAGGATTTAGTTTATTGAATAAAAATCGAAGTGGAAGGAACTCTCTTTTAAATGTATGATGTTTTCATTGATTTTACCCTGCAAAATACAAAAATTTGGTCTAAAACATAATCATTAATTTGTACGGGAAAGTTTGCTCAGTTAACTCAGTTCTGGAACATTACTATTTAATTGAGAACATAATGTTACTTTATTGATCACGGGAAAATAGTCTGTAAAATCATTCCACTTTCAAAAAACATCGATCTTTTTACTTTAATGTTAAATACACAGATAGTCAAATCAATTACACTCATACTGCACAAACAAATAAGAGATTCATTTTGCAACTAGAAAATAGTAATAGAATTTATTTTTTAAAATGTAATATTTAAGTCATTAGCATTGTAAGACATTTTTGACAGTAATAAAAAATACGTGTTAACGTTAAATGCCATTTTTAACTTTAATATTCTGCTCCCACCTACCTCTTTAAATATGCTTTCTACGCCCCTGGTCTAAGTAACTACGAAACTTTATATTTAAATTTTACAGCGTCGAAACATGACGTCGAATCGACGTTGATGCGACGTCAAAAATGCAAATCGAATTGACGTTGTTTTATCGACGTCGAATCGACGTCTAAACGACATCGGCTTTCTCTACATTTCTTATTATAAATATTATCTCCGACATTAAAGTGGGTTTGAATGGAGAATCTCTGTAAATATCGATCGTATAATTAGATATACGTTTTTAAACTTCCTATATTAAACTTCCTATATAGAATGCATTTCAGTCTAATGATCTCTTAAAGTTAATGACTAAATATTACTATTAATAAAACCTTCTATCCGTGCCTTGATGGAAAGTTTTCTTTTGGGCAATAACATTTATATTACATTTTTTAAATGTAGATTGTCGAGGTTGGTATAGTCCTGAGAAGGACTGTTTTTTTTGTTGTTGCCTGATGTTTCGACAACCATTACGGTAATCATCTTCAGAGTCGAATGTGGAGTTGTTCGCTCTGTCGTCCAAATGATCGTAATAAAGTAAATGGTTTGAACCCGGAAGTATCGTTACATGTTTTTAAATGTAGATCGTCCAGGTTAGTATAATCCTGAGAAGGACTGTTTTTGTTCTTGTTGACTGACGTTTCGATAACCTTAGCGGTAGTCATCTTCAGAGTCAAATGACGCTTGACTCTTGACTTTTGACTATGAAGATGACTACCGCTAAGGTTGTCGAAACGTCAGTCAACAACAACAACAAAAACCCTTCTCAGGATTATACCAAACTGGACGATCTACATTTACAAACATGTAACGATACTCCCGGGTTCAAACCATTTAC